AGTAGTAGCGTAGTAGTAGTAGTAGTAGTAGTAGTAGTATAGTAGTAGTAGTAGCAGCAGCAGCAGCAGCAGCAGTAGTAGTAGTAGTAGTAGTAGTCGTCGTCGTCGTCGTCGTCGTCGTCGTCGTCGTCGTCGTCGTCGTCGTCGTCGTCGTCGTCGTCGTCGTAGTAGTAGTAGTAGTAGTAGAAATAGTAGTAGCAGCAGCAGCAGCAGCAGGAGTAGTAGTAGTAGTAGTAGTAGTAGTTAGCAGGAGTAGTAGTAGTAGTAGTAGTAGTAGTAGTAGTAGTAGTAGTAGTAGTAGTAGTAGTAGTAGTAATAGTAGTAGTAGTAGTAGTAATGGTACGAGTGGTAAGGGTAGTAGCTGTAGTGGTAGAAGTCGTAGCGGTAGTAGTAGTAGTAGTAGTAGTAGTAGTAGTAGTAGTAGTAGGAGGAATAATAGTAATCATATTAGTCGTAGTAGTCGTAGTTGCAGTCGTAGTAATAGTAGTAGTAGGAGTAGCAGTCGTCGAAATAATAATAGTAGCAGCAGCAGCAGTGGTAGTGATTTACACCAGTATCATTATTTTCTTCGTTTTCATACGATTAAGAATAACATTAATGGTGGTAGTAATATTACTATGAATAATATGTTGGGGTAGCGCGGAAGGTAACCGCCCGCCGAAGCCGTCGATGCCGCCGCAGCGGCCGCCGCGGACGTCGTCGCCCCGCCGCCGTCGCCGTCGCCGCGGCGGGCGTCGAAGCCGCCGCCACCGCCGCCGCCGTCGTCGAGGTCATCGCCGGCACCGCGCGAGGAAAACCCGGACATGCTGGCGGCGTGAACAAAAAACACGACGGGAGATGTTCGGTCGTTTTCGGTCTCCCGGGGCCCACGCCGAGCCCCGCGGCCGCCAAACACCAGTCGGGATGAAACACAGGCCCAGGGGGAGGGAGGGTCGACAGAGGGGAACGGATGATCCCCGTAGGGGGGGGGACAAACAGATAGCTACACCGCCATGTCACCCACAGACCTTCTGCTGGGGTGCGTTTCGACCAAGATTTCGAGGCACATCCGACCGTGGTGACGAGGGCAGGGTGGCGGCATCGGTACCTCTCCCTCCCCTGACGTAGGGCCGCCCCCCGTTGACTGGGCCCCGAGAGAGTAGCCAGCCTCGAGCGCCGGCGTCCTGAAGCGCCGCATCCTCGCTCGCAGATGCTGCACCTCGGCGCCGGCGCGACGCGCACGCGGCGCGGCGCGCGGCACATATTTCGCGGGGGAACGCTCAGCGCCGCGCCGGATGCGCTTGCGCCCCGCGTCGCCACGACGGCAGGCGGCATGGCGGCGGAGGAGGAGGAGGAGGAGGAGGAGGAGGGAGAGGAGGAGGAGGAGGAGCTGGAGGAGGAGCTGGGGAAGGAGGAGGAGCTTGAGGAGGAGAAGGAGGAGGGAGGAGGAGAGGAGGAGGAGGAGGGAGGGAGGGAGGAGGCAGGAGGCTGCAGGAGGAGGAGGAGGAGGAGGAGGAGGAGGAGGAAGAGGAGAGGGAGGAGGAGCACTCGGGGAATGGCAGCTGCACGCTCTCACCGTCCCAGGAGCCCGGGGCCACCCGGCGCCCTGGGTCGGTGTGCAGACCCTCGTGGCCTCGACCTGGAAGGATGTCTGTGCAAACCATCCTGGGGCCCCTCCATCTCCTCCTCCTCCTCCTCCTCCTCCTCCTCCTCCTCCTCCTCCTCCTCCTGTTCCTCCTGCTCCTCCATCTCCGTCTCCTCCTCCTCCTCCTCCTCCTGCTCCTCCTGCTCCTCCTGCTCCTCCTGCTCCTCCTGCTCCTCCTCCTCCTCCTCCTCCTCCTCCTCCTCCTCTGCGGAGGTGTTTCTGCCAATGCCGTGCCTGCCGCGTGGCCGAGCGGCGAGCCGAATGCAGTGCAGCGTGCCACTCCACAGGCGTGGAAGCACAGGGCGCCTGCCCGCCTCATCCGCTGCGGAGGTGCCCGGTGGTGCCGGGGTGCTCTATCGCCCTATAGCCCTATGTCCACTTAGCCCTATAGCCTCATAGCCATATAGCCCATTAGCCCATTAGCCCTAGCCCTATAGCCCGATAGCCTAATAGTCCAATAGACCATATAGCCCGATAGCCCTATAGCCCTACAGCCCTAAAAACACTATGATTGGTTTTTTTCGCCAGTATCATTTGTATGATTCTTCCGCTCAACTTCTCCCTGCTCGAAGATTTCCGACGCTTGCGCACGGTAGAACTGCATATGAAGAGAACACGGACCAACCCAGATCAGACAGGAGGCAGGCCGATGACAACTATTTTCAGCCTGCTTCACAGTCGTGACACGGCTGTGGAACGGTGTGAACGGAGCGTTTCCAAGCGTCGATGCGTTGAGAAGTCGGATGGCAGAGAGCTCTTCGAGCGTGAACCAGCGGTGGCGATAGCCCATGAAGGGATGGAACTCAAACACCCTCACGCCCGAACGATCAGGCCGCGCCTGAACGCGTTCAGCAGCGACTGCGAAGCTGGGTGCGC